AACATTTTCTGGTCTCAGCTTCTCCAGTGGGAGGATTTTATTATTGTAAGTTGAATAACTTTAAGATGGACTGACTCTTGGTTGGACAAAACTGCCTATTTGAAGATGCCAGTTTGGCTTTCCGACATCTTATAGACCAAAAGGGTCATCTATTAATTGAGAAAAAATTCAGCAGATAATGAAAACAATCATCAGTTGCAGTCTCGTACAATAAAATAAGAAGACAATTGTGCTTTCTGTACTTTTGTCAGCTGGTGTATTATTCTGCACACACACTCATTCTTGGCAGCTTGTCAAATTTCCAACTTTGAACCAGCTGGTATTGATGGCTTATTTATTACATCTAATCCCTTTGTGATAATGGCGGAGAGTCACAGCAGGTATAAGAAATGCATTGTCAGTGGGGAAGTCATTATTAATCTCAAGTCCATCTCTGTCGTCAGACTTTGTGCATCCCTTCAGCCTGTGTTACTCCTGAGTTTGTACACCATCAAAGTGTTCTACCTGTTTTCATGGCATAAGTTCCCTAATTTGTCAATGTTACAAGATAATTAGCCTCCGTTTTCAGTGGTATTGATTAGGATACTTAACCTTTGGAAACGTAGCAGGACTGCAGTTGCTCATTAGGACATTAGTTCTTCCTGCTTTATGCCCCACTTGGTATTTTGTGTTAAAGTGCCACAGGCCAGCAAAGTGTAATTGGGTTCGTAAGAAGTGTGTAATGAAGCCACCAGATCGCTAAAAATGTGCATTTGTCAATAGGTTTCTTTTTACAGTCAAGCCATGAACACTATGATTGAGCTCTTCCTCACAACATGCTTGAAAAGGCTACAAAGATAAAAGCCCACTCCAGAAAATGTTCTTATCAACCAGGAAACAAAATGATGGAATATACTTCACCAATTAATCAAAGCATTAAATAATATAAAACATTTAAGTCAAAAGTCTTTTGTCAAGCAAAATGCCAAACATTTGCTGCATCCTGTTTCTTAAACAGGAGAAACTCTCTGCAGTCTGTTGGCTCAGAACATGTTCCGCCTGTGGAGTTCTTGATCCTGGATGTTGATGGAGCAGGTCTCTGTAAAGATGTGGGCACAACAGTTTCTCATTTCCTGTTGTTTGGCCATCTTGAGTCCCATTTTGCCCAGACCGGACGTAGGCCAAGAGCAGCCTTAAGTCCAAGCTGGGCCAGGATGGCTCCTAATTTAATTAACACCGTCCCAGTGTAAAAAAACACCCCTGCTGTGTTAATTGGCATACAGTTCTGGGGTTATGCTAATATTGTGAAAGCACATGCTGACAGTCATTGTATCCAGATACATTTAAATGGAAATGGCGATTGTCCACATTCAGTTCCAACAGAAATGTGTGTTAACAAAGCAATTGAATAAATATCTTTCTGTAGTTAATGCTTGGTGATGTTACAGTCATACTATTCTAGAGGATAAAACAAAGGCAACAATGGTGCCTGTGTTTTTAGGTGTGGCCCATCTTTTCAGCTCGTCTTTGGGAACCAACAGAAGGGAGGATCAAGGATTTTCTCTGCTTGCTGTCCCTCGTTTGAAATTTCCTATAGCGCCTGCCAACTCAGTGATCAGCCGACTCCGTTGATCAAACAATAAACATTTGGTAGGAACACTTTGCTTGCACTCGTGCCTCTCTGGATTTTATTCAGGAGTATTATGTCACCAAGACTGCTTTTTAAAATGACAAAATGTATTATACGGAGGCTTCATTTCATCCCAGGCCCTTATTTATATAATGACATTTCTAAATGTGATAACTAATAAACACTGACATCATACAAATAACTAATCTAGAATAGTTTAATTTGGCCCCAATCAAACTGTGACATTACATTATATGCCACATATTAGGCTACTGTTTCTAAATTGAGCAGCTCATGAAGAGAAGAATGATTGCTTGAAATTGTAATTTGGTTTCAAATTATTTGGATGACTACTGTCCAGATGGGGTGTTTTTGTTGTGATAGATCAGCTCATATGACAAAAGAACTGTTAACAGATTAGTTTTACAGCTTTCACCTCTGGATATAGTTATGCCTCAAAAAAAGAAAAATTGAGTACGGTATCCCCCCTCCACGTAGTATTTCTGAGAGTGAAGATGGAGGTATGAGGCTTATAAAAGTCTAAAAGCGTAAGTGTAAGGGTCTTAATGTCTGTGCTTCATGCTCCAGCAACCTGGCACACGTGAGCATAATGTAGAGGAAGAGTGGAGTCAAATTAATACCAGCCAAATGTTCATATCGTGACCCATGCTGGTAAGCTGGCCTATTTTGACAGCTATTTTAACAGTCTAACAGTCACTGCTCTCAAGGATTTGAATCTCCCAGTTGAGTGCACTCATGGATGAAAAAGTAATTTTCTAGCAAAATCCTGTCTTTTGAAGTTTCTCTATTGGTTCTATTTAATTTTGCGTTTACGGAAGCCAAAACAGTGAATAGGAAGAGGAATAAGGGAATAAGATGGACAAAATAACAGTAAAGCCCTTGCAGTGTAATTCAGTTTAATCCAATAGTATGACCCCAGGAATGAGCATCTTAACAAAAATTTAACATTTAAATATTAATAATTACAGTACATATTGTAGAACTTCTGCAGTGGATTACATTTGTTTAGCCAAAGGGATTTTAAAGTTGCTAACAATTCTAAAGCACATTACTTATTAGGCTCGTTCTAGAGGAGCCAGGCCTGCACTGGCAATCGCTGCACAATTCATGTCGATTAGATTTGTATCTGACTTGATCCCGGTATGCTCTGTATTAGCATTGCATGTGAGCAACAATAACCTCACGAGATTGACCCAACAGCCGTTTTTAGAGCCAAGCGCCACAGCTGCTCCCCATGCTGAGAAACGCCTGGCTGTTGCTTATCTGAATGTGGTGTGCAGGCTACAGGTAGCCTCTAACAAGATGCACATATTTCTGTGACTTGCTGTGAAGGCTTGTTTTAGTCACCGTCCCTGTGCTGCCGCCGCTTGATCTTGTCCACTTTCCAGGCGAGACACAGTTGTCTCTCAGACGAGGCTTTTGTTATATTCCTGCAGAAGTTGAATTTGTGTGAGACAAAAAATTAGATTGTTTTTAGCTTCTGTTTGCTTTAAGTCTTAATCTCACCTGCAAAGGCTGGGTATGGATTAGTTGAGCTTTGTGCTCATTCAAACAAAATCACCTAAAACACTGATGTATGCAATTTGAAGATAGTCATGCTTTTGTGTTTGTGCAAGGTAATCATTGTAAGACATTTTATTCACGGGGCTGTAAATGGTTCAGTATGCATTTGGGAAACTAAGAAACTTTCTCTGTATCAAAAATCCACCTGATGTAGTTATGAGAAGTAAAAGTTGGTCATTGTGATGTGTATATTTCTGTTCAACACTGTTCAGAAAGGCTTCTGTTTGCAATGATTGTTCCCAGAAAGCACAGCTAGATAAAAGAAAAGTGGTTGCTTTGGTAATATGTTGCATTTAGCAGCAGGTATCTGTTGGATAATCTTTCTTCTGTTCTCAGACATGATAAAAGCTCTTACGCCTTCAACTTTTGTTTTATTTAAATTGAATACAACCAATTTGCACATTAGAGATACACAAAGACTTTGGTGTTTTGCTGTTCTGAGAGAAACCCAAATCTCAAGTGATGTCTCTCTTTGCTCACAGCAATTCAGCTTTAAAGTATGATTACCATATTAAGTCCTCCAAATAAACTAATTAAAGAGAATTATAGGCAGTATTGTTTGTCTGGAGGAATAAAACTTAAGCAGAGCAATACTTAATGTATTAATTAAGTGTCACAAGGGTCATAATAGTTGATGATAAACCAGAGAAAAAAATCTAACACACACTCTCTCACACAATTCTGCATGTTGATTGTGATGTCTAATTGTATGCTTTCATATAATGAACAACAACACTTGTGCAGTACTTCCCCGTTCAGCTAACACATTGTAGTGGGGAGACTCGACAGGCTGCTGTGCTCCACAAGGCTCACAGGACAGCTAAATGTGTCAGGAAGCGACTTTTTGATAACCCTACTAGCTTGGAAAAACACTGTGAATCTTGTTAATCAACCTTCTGTGTTACTTTATTCTTTTGGCTTTTATTTACTTGTGACAAATTGTAATTTTATTAATGTCAATGCAATTTTCAAATGTCAGAACGGTGAGGGAAACAAACTAAGACTTTGTAGTCGGCATTATATTATACACTTATGAATATTCATGTGAACATAACTTTAAGTTAATCAGATTTTTTGAAAATCACATTTAAAGGCCCAGAGAAAATATCATACTATGACTAATAGGGGTCGTACATGAACACACTATTTTCTGCCACTGTGTGAACAGTTTAAGTTATTTAGAGATTTCTGTATTTTGTTTTTTCTGTGCTCTTATCACTGGTTTGAAGTGGGCGGGGCTCAGTTAGGAAAAGCTGATATTACATATTTCTGTGCCCCAATCGGGATTTAGCAGCATTTGTGATGACAGTTTGTGGGTTTGTTTGGTCATGGTCAGTCAGGTCTGATCAAATCACATCCACACAGTCCTGATGGAACAGATTAACTTGAGAGCAATTTCTTAATAAATAATACCTAAAGGTGTTTCATGAAAATGTAATGTTGTAAAATATCAATTTGTTTTCTCATTTCTGTATTGCAGCTCTTCTAAATACTGTCACCCATGAAAAGACCAACCAACAAACCCTGTTTATGTGGTCTTGCTGGAAAAATATCAGATAATAAAGATGGCAAAACTTAATGTATTTATTGTATGGAACCATTGTAACAGTTTTTTGATAAAACTCATTAAACATCATCAAACCCACAACCAGTTTTATCTGTTATATAACATTGTGATAAAATATTATTACAACTCAGGCCCTTGTCGTCAGTCGTTGGGGACATGCTAACAGATTAGTCCATTGAGAGTCTATCTGACACAGTGACCAGCACAAACTATATAATGGTTCATCTTCTTCTCCTGCAGGTACATGATGTTGATCAACGGGAAAAATGAAGTATTCATGATCGACAGAGACAACACGATCTTCCACATAGCGAACCTAGAGTTTCCTTTCCGGAAGGATCCACGTGTCCACTTATCAAATACTCTATTAGATGGGGTGAGTTGTTATTCTTACTAATACTTATTATTCTTTTGGATTGTGATGTGTTGTGTCATGCTAACTTCTCTTGTTGCTTCCTGAAAATCCTATAAGGTTTCTCTCTTGTCTGGAATTGCACATCCCCTCTATCTCCAACTTTGTAACATTCCCACCCTGCCCCTGCTGCTCAACCTAGCAGATAATTGACATCGGTTGCCAAACCTTTGGTGAAAGAACAGTATGTTTCAGTCTGACAGTAGAGCCTCTCAAACACGACTGACAGGAAAGTGATCATCCATGTCCTGGAGAACTAGCTAATGAAATGTTTTACAGTTTTTCTGTCACTGTTGCCTCTGTGTTTTACACTGAGTTGTGTTGTAACACTCAGCAGTGTGCTCCCCGGGGTGGCGGTGGGGGTTGGTGACTGATCCTCTTCCTGTAATACCGGGCTCAGACTGTTATTGGCATGTTTGTGCTGTTTAGGTCACACAGGTCCCAACTCTCTCCAGCAGCAGGTGCACATGCATGAGTCATTATCCCACTCCCTATCTGAAAACATAGGCAAGGAAATTGCTGCATGTTCACGTAATCAGCTTGGATTTGATTATGGTTGTATGGCAGTGTTTGGTATTACAGTACCGGAGATAACAGATAAGTTGCCTGTGATTGGTTTTGTTTTGCTCCCGGTCTTGTTTTCTCTTTTAGTTTAGCAATTTTATGTAAAATAGGTTTGAGCATCCTCTTGGCTTAGCAGTTGCTGATTGATGCGGAGAATTTAGTTTCCTCACCCAGACAGGACATCTAATTGCAGTGTGTTAGTGTTTCTTTGAAGGAGCAGTGTGGATGTGTGTTTAGATTGCTACAAGGTTTGTTTTGACGGGTTTATTCATCTGTTGATGCTTCTGGCTCTCAGTTGAGTGAGGCTGTGTTTGGCTGTTTACGGTGAGCCCTCTAGAAGCCCAGCTGTGTTGTCTGATATGTTTCATCTTTAGCCCAAAGGCACTGGTCTTTGTCTTTACATTTTGTTTTATAGTAGAGTTTTTAATGAGCTTTACATCAACCTGCGTTCCAATATTGGATGAATGCGCAATGTAGATTGAATTCCTGGTGGTTTCCTTTGGTCACATTAATGAATTCACCCACTGCTGTGTGTCTGTGCAACGGTTCAGTACACCAGATGCATAATGATGGCAGCCTCCTGAAATGACATCATTTCTTCCCTCAAACCCCTCCTAATGTGCTGTGCATGCCTCCCATTCGCTCCTCCGTTGGCCTCTTTACCAGTCTGGCATTGGCAAGTGAATTTTGATGTTTGGTCCTTTTGTGCTGTCAGATATGAAATTAAATCGTGTCAGCCAGTAGGGATACAAATTTTAAGTAAGTATTTTCATTGAAGATGGTTAATTGTAACACAACACAAAATGGCACCAATCACCACTGGTGAGGCCAATGTTGAAGAGCTGCAGTTCTTAAAGTTACTGCTAGATTTTGGGACAAAAACAAATCACACTACAGTCACTGTATTGCTGCCAGGAACTTCTAGCAGCTACTGCATGAGCTACGGGTGTGGTTTAATGCTATGTGTGTGATGAGGTGTTTAAGAAATGATTGTTCGCACAAAAACAACAAGAGGTTAGCGTAGATGCTGGTAAGAAACATGTAAACATAACTTTTGTTTGTTTCTTTCAGCTTTTTCAAGCTTCCTCTTTAAGACGTCCCTTCTCAAAACTATGGTTGACATTACAGTCGTTGCATTTTTCTACAGGCTATCAACCTCTGGGTGTCAAGCCCAGACATGACAGATTAAAAAAAATTACCCACATAATAATATTTGTTTCTACGGGCTGTTTTGAAAACAGTAACACAACAGTATTCTTGTGTGTGTTAGAAATTGTCACCTGCAAAATATGACTGATTTTGTGTAGTGGCAAGTGAATTTGCTCAACCTACCTAGGTTTTTGGAACCCACCAGCCACAGTGGCCAGTGGACAAAAAAGTTAATTTCCACTGTGTTGTGTGTGTGTGTGTATATGCACTACATAGACATAGTTCAAAGGATATAGTATGCATGTGTATGCATGTGTAGTGAAAATGAAATATCCCAGTGAAAGCCCAACAGGGCTCGAGTTTACCAACATTCAGCACAGATGGAACAGAAGTGGCTTAACTATAAAGTCCACACAGGCCAATAGAGAGAAAATCCTGTTTGAGGCCACATTGGGAAGGAAATTAACTGAAAAATTATGCATTAATTAGCTGTGCCAGGAATGTAAACATCTATGTTCCCATCCTACAACTACATCTAAGCGTACCACTCAAGTAGAGTCCCTTGGGTGCCCGGATAGCTCAGTCGGTAGAGCTGGCGACCCATGTACAAAGGCTGAGTCCTTGCTGCAGCAGCCTGGGGTTTGAATCCGACCTGCGGCCCTTTGCTGCGTGTCATCCCATCTCTCTCTGCCCCCCTTTCCTGTCTATCTTCAGCTATCACTACAATGAAGGCAATAAAAGCCCCCCCAAAAAAAACTTAAAAAAAAAAACTAGAGTCCCTTGAATTTAAATAAAGCCGGTTTATTAATCTTAAATAACATGAATGTAAATAAATTAATCATCTTTTTTATATGTTCTTGTCACTCAGTCATGACTCCACCATGTATGTTCATTTGGTTAAAATGGGTGCATGATGGCTATATGAGTATTACTTTTTGGGCCTTATAGCTACTTTAAGTGTCTCACCTGCAAACCTTTTACCTGTCAGTTACAGCAGTAGAGCACAGCTCGTCGCCTAAATATTTTATGAGGGAAAAGGGCATAAATATAGTCCTCTAACTGTAGTGCTTCACTCTCAAATTTATAGATAGGTGGAGGATCAGAGTTGCATTCACTTACAGTACTTCAGCAGTGGTGACGTTGGCATGCTGTCACTACATCGGATGGTTGTGTAACAGTTCTTTGCAAACTTATCATGTGTCTGTTGGGTGCCCTGCACCACCACTGCACCTGACTCTCAACTTGAGAGTCTTGCATAATGGATGTGCACATGCTATTTCTGCTTCATGTCCTCCTTCTCAGACCCCACCACCACACACCCACCTCCCCAATTCCTTGCTATCCCTCCCATTGCCACAGGCATCTCCCTCTCTGAACATACATCCCCTGGAGATTACTCACTGCCTTGTGTCCCACTGAGTTTTCCTCCCGCATAACTAGTTTCAAAGAGGAACCATTTTCTACATGTTAAGACTTCCCAGACTAAGGTCTTTTATTTTATTTTTCCTTTATTTAACCTGGAAGTCCCACTGAGATACAATTTCTCCTCTGCCAGGGAGTGCTGGTCAAGAATATGTATTTTGTACATCTTCTACACTCAGTCAAGTATCGTTGTCTCAATAACTGTCTCTTTTCACTGTCTTCTTTTACACTTCCTGTCTTGACCTGACTCTGAACTTTATCTCTGCAGGAGATGATCATCGACAAGGTGAACGGTCAGCCCGTCCCCCGCTATTTGATATACGACATCATCAAATTCAATGTGAGTAGCCCAGCCCTTTGAGAATGTGTTGTCTTTTGTTTGACCTATAACTCCTGAAAATCTGCCAGATCAAGATGTCAGACAGAATAAACAAATAACACATTGGAAGCATGCCATTAACACTGTGGTCTACCAACAGCCCCCCCCATCTCCTTTTTTCCTTTTTACTAGCTGTTAACAACGGTCTGATTCGGCAGAGGCCATTTTTGTGGCTGTAGTCAGGAGCCTGTGCCATTATATAATCAGAGCAAGGTGTACATCAGTAAAAAGAATTGATGCAGAACGGGATTTGTTTATCCTGAAACCTAAAAAATCCCTGTTGGGTTCCTCTAAAGCTTTACGGTAGCAAGCAGCAGAGCTGTGTTCATCCAGGCTCTGACAAGTATTGTCATCCCTGTGAGAATCCTGCAGTCTGCATGTTGGAGAAAAGAGCACGGCTCTGCTTGACCCCACACCCTGTCATGCACTAAAGCCTGACATTAACCACAACACCTGGGCTGAACTGTGTCTGACCCATAATGAATATTTATAAAGTTTTTGTGCTTCTACACCTGAAATTGGTTTTGCTAAGCTCCATTTACCTGTTTTCTGATAATCACTTATGAACAAAAACAAAAACAAACAAAACTTCATTAAATATTAATCTAAACATCAGAGTTGAAGTGAACCTGATGATCAGTTTATTACTCGCATTATATTTGGCCAGCAGTAACTGCTCTGGTGCATATGTACATGTAAAATTAGCTGTTATGTATGTGTACTAGCATGTTTCTCCTGTTACATTATTTTGACTTGAACAGCCCGAGGATAACATTACAAGGCTCTTAATTGCTAACGCTTTTCCAAACTGTAAATTAATTCATCCCTTCAACCGATCTGCGTGCTGCTAATGGCAATCAGGGAGGCACAGAGACAAATGAGCCTACAGTTTGCCTTTAGCGAGCCTCTGCTGTCTTCCTCATAAACATTTGATGAATATCTCAGGATAAGAGGGGGGAGTGTTACCTCGGCCATTATGTTTGTCGTTCGCCTCCTTTTCTCCATCGATCAGAGGATCAGCACAAGCAAGCGGCTCAATAAAGGCTCCAGTGGTGAGAGGAACATCTTTGTAAGGTGGTGCAGAGGTTAGCAGCTCCACATGACTCCCACCGAGCCATCAGCAAAGCGTTGTTGTATTGATCCCCGCTGGCCATTATTAGCCTTCTCCATTATCCGTGGTGGGCACCTTGGCACAGAGGCCCCATCCGGAGACTGAGGATGGAAATGCAGCAGGAGGGAGAACACACCTCCTGCTAGGCCCATGGCCTAACGTGACACCTTACTCGTTTGGAAAGTCAGGTGAAACACAGTACTGGGATTCTTTTGATTAGAGGGTGATGAGACGTGTGTGTCCTCTCTCCTGGATGGGTACTTTAGCTTTCAGTGAAGGGGTTAGAGTTTATTTAGTTATGTGGATTTTGATGGAGATGAATGAGTTATGTCAGCTTATACTGTGTTGTTCATGTTAGAGCAGTTGATGTTCTTAGTCAACCTACAGAGTGTTATTATGTTGAAAGTGCTGATGGATACAGTACCTTTCCAACCATGTGATTGACTCTGACTACCACCCTGAGAGATGGAATGAATTTTTTATTTCCGCTGTTGCTGCAAAGTATAAAAAGTATTTTTTGTCTTCCTGGAAAGTTGTTGTTGCTTGTCAGTCACTGTCAGTTCCCCCACTGTGGGGGAACTGACAAGATGTGATGAAAGCACAACAACAATTACATACATGTCCTTAATTTTCAAGTTGATGTAAAAAGCTATTATTTTGAGAAAAAGACTGTGGAGGTTTTCACGTCTATGTCCTGACACTTTGATTGACCTCGTTATCTTTCATCTCGCCAAAAATATTCTCACTTTAGGTACAAAATTAGATGAGATAATTGGCTCAATCAGATTTAACAGCTGAGCACAAAGGAGTGCTTTTAACACTCACTGCAGAAACCTTACCTGTCGAGGTATGAGTGCTTTACTGACATCAGCTCAATTCACTTTTGTTTGACAAGTTTGTCTGCCGGTTCAGTCTGTAGCTCTGCAGGGCTCTCCACCCTAAGAGTAGTCCCTGGGCTGCATCATTCCTCTCAAACCAATGGCAGCATCATTCTGATGACGCACTGAAGCTCCTCTGCAATCAGGTCTCACCAGCTGTCTGCTATAAAGTACCTTTGAAATCTGTGCTCCTGCAGTACACTAACATCTAATGTGCAGTATATATGTTAGATATATATATATATGCACACAGTAGGAGAACAATAGTGCTGGTGCCAAGGTTTTAATGGTCTGGAGCTAGTAATAGCCACTAGTGGCTAGCAATGACTTTACGTTTAACATCTGTCAGTTTAATTTGCTCATAAATCAAAATGCATCCAAGCCACTTTCATTCTGTTATTATAGCACAAGTCTCCACCTTCATTTCTATGTTGATCACGTGGTTGAACATGTGGACGTCGATGAAGGAAATGATGTGGTTATTATGGGGATAATTGTTCTAAAATGTAGCTGGAGAGGCAGCAATGCTCTCTACTCAGTTGTAGCATTGCTTAAAAATTCAACACAGGACACAGTTGATGTGGTGCACTGGATTTTCTACAGAACACTAATGTACTTATCAATCGGGAACCCTTACCGCAAGCTGCGAAAGCTTTGGCACGGATCACCCAAATAATGTTCCCTTTTCATGTTGTTTTATTGGATTAATTATAAAAGGATAATGAAATGTGTTCAGTATTTGAAATAAAAATAGTCATGAATCAAAATTTACGTTGTGGGAAAAGTTTTCTCTTTCCTTAAATTATCTTGCAACCCCTTAAACCCTGCTGCAACGTTGTGATCTAGCTGGATTTATTTTTTTCTACCTCTATCTGAGAGGTAAGCCCAACTCTGCATTAATGTGACTCATAAAGGAGCAGGAACAGTAGGCTTCAGGGGCTCTTACAGTATAACTGCACCAACCGTCGTCATAAATTTTGGCCTACGACCTGCCAGTCTACATTTGTAGACACAAATAAATTCTCTTTCAAAGCCAAAGACCATAGCTTTAAGACTACAGCTCATATTCAGCGATATGGTGAAATAGATGGTGGGAAAGGTACTCCTTTGGGTAAGGTGCGCTTTCATCTTTGTTTTCAGCAAAAAAAATGCGTTCTGTCTTTGGAACAGCCCTACACCTATGTAACGACAGGATCTTTTGGCTTTAGAGGAACGCTGCTGTGTCAGGGTGGGAAATCAGCACCAGCCAAATGCTGGTAAAATATGACAGTTGCTAGTAGAGTTCAGACACAAAACAGTGATTTACTATTGAGTGGCTGGTGAATTCGAACATTTATCTGTCAGTGGCTGATAGATGTTCACATTTTAAAAAGTTAATTTTCCATCCTGGTTCAGACTGCTCAGCACCACAAGAAACCGAGAGAGGAATTCATAGCTTGAATGACATACTTCCAATTGATAATAATATACTAGCGATAATAAATGACAACTGGAGCCTCCAGGGAATAAATCATATATTTTCTTTAATCTGCTTCAATATTGCCTCAATTGTCATGCTCCTCATGCCTGTGCTTTATGGCTCCATGATGCAGATAAGATAAACAGGAGGTGTTGTGTGTGGTAATAAACAGTTAAAAACAGCCTGAAAGCCTCCGTTTTTGTTAGAAATATCCCAAGAGAAGCTGCAAATTAAGCCTCAGTTGACTGGTCCCTACACTGCTTTTGTCACCTGCGTATAATGTAATTTATTCCAAAGTATCCCAGACAGTCACACTGCTTTTAACAGTATTCCCAACACTGTCAGTTTTTTATCAGAGATGTTTTTGCTGTACTCTTGAGTTTATCCTTAATCCGGAAGAAGGCTGCAGCTCTCTGGTGTTTTAACATTTAATGTGTGATTATATATAGATTTTTTATGCACACTCAGTTTACCCATGAAGGTGGTTATAAAATTCACTAAATTGTACCTTGTTGGACTGGATACAATCTTTGACGCCTTGTGTCCATTTGTGATGAATGCATCAGTACATCCATGTTCGATAATGTAATGATCAAATAAGAGATTTTCAGTACGTAAAAAGACGAATGATTTCGTTCTAGTATCTATTCATATTCAGTTGATTGTTTGGCTTTGAAATGTCACAAAACTGCTCATCACTAGAGCCCAAGTTGAACCAGCAGTGAAGAACCCAACATAACCAATTTACTATTATAGAAAACTAACAAATATTTCCATCTGGTTTTTTTGCTACGGTACTAACTTCAGTTGCTTGGTTTGTCCTCCTAACAGACCAAAACCCAAAGATTCAGTATTTTGTCACACAAGACAAAGACCAGCAGCGCTTTCAAGTGAGAATTTAACAAGGGGATGTTTAGACAGAGGGGTTCTGAGGTGATGTTCAGAACCAATCAAGGCATTTCTTTATAGATTTGTATCAGTTATATCAAGCCTGACACATTGCTGTAGCTTGTCAAAGATGGTGTATTGGGCTCAGTTGAAACACTGGCTCTGACCTAACCACACAGCGATGACAGTAATTCAGTAAGTGGAGCAGCACAGACAAATAAATGGCAAACTCAAGTTAGAGTTTATGTCGTTTACAGACGGTAAGCTATCGAGACACATTCACACCCAGAACCACAGCTAAAAAATGACAGGGTGCTTTCTCTGACATAATTGATCTTTATTCCCAGTAATGTCGGATTAACAAGATTCTTATCTGCTGTGTTTTCCTGTTGAACAGGCGTGGACAGCACATGCCTTGAATCATTCACACTTACATCTTGTTCTGTCCTGGTGACACAGCTGACAGATGGTGCAGAATGTGTGGGACATGATACCAGCTGTTGCTCCAGGAGACTGTAGTGTGTTTTTTTGCAATCACCCTAAAAGAATAACAAGTCCTCAAAGTAATGCCCAAATGAGAGTTTCTCAGACTTTAAATTTGCTTTTGACCTTATTTGTAGTTGCAAAATCATCCTGACAGAGTTGTTCAGGCTGCGTTAAGCAAGTCAGGCTATAAAACATAGTCACAGAGACTCAGTGGCATACATTTGGCTAATCTGTTAGCAAACTGTTGCTTATCACATCCAGCAGACATCGGGACGGCAACATGGCCGTCCCAATGGAGTCCGATCTGATCACCTGACGAATGCAAGTCCAATCTCTATTTACCTTTTTTATCTGTTTTAGACCTCCTCAAGGTGTATACTAACTAGTGCAATTAACAGTTATTTCCATTTTCAATTGATCTGATTGTTTTCTTGAGTAATTAAACTAATTGTTTAGTCTAGAAAATGGCAGTAAATAATAAAAATTGCCCTTCACCATTTCTCAGAACCCAATCTAATCTTCATTTTATTTCATTGTTTGGGACATGATTAGTGTAATTCCATATTTTCTTATTATAAACAAAATTCTCATCAACAGTAATGGCTGTTTTCGTCCCATATATTCCAACATCACTACTCGCAGAAGGCAAAGCCGTGTTCTCTGTGGTTATGTATAAAAAGTAATTTGTTGAAGACATGTTTTTTTGTTTTTTTGTCATTCATAAGGGATGGCATTGCACTTGCTTACATAAGACTGTATACTTAAAAGAATGCCCTCATCTTCTGTTCTGAATAGCTGTATGACTCACAAGACATTACAGTCGAGTAATTGCATCTAATCTTAACTAATTATTGGCCGTCCACCTCCTCATCCACTTTTAAAAAAAATGTTTTTCTTCCCCCCCATGACCCAATAATTTCATAGAAAGCTCTTCAGAAGTGGCCTTTAACAAACAGTAACAGAAGCAGAATACAAATGCCCCCAAGTCAACACCTTCTTGCTCAGTGCCTCTCAATATAGATCAGGGAATATCGATCCATAAACCCACTAGTGTAGGAACATTAAAGGTGTGGATGTTTCGCTATATAGTTTTTTATTTTTATTTTATTTGAGCAAGGTTTTTAAAGGGTAAAAACAACGCACGCATGTCAAATCACTAAAATTAGACAGCGGAATGTTGGAATTTGCAAAGGAAGGTAAAGGTTTGTCTGGTTTGGTTAGTCGACTGAATTAGGCGATCAACAGAAAATGAATCTGAATTTGTAGGGGGAAATAATAGAATAATATAACATGAGGAGAGGGTCTTCTGATTTGATGAAATTGTTGCTAATTATTCCGGAAAAAAAAAAAAATTAGCTACCAAAATATAAATGTTTTATTACATCGAGATAATTTACATAAACAAGAAAAAGCCTGAGGAATAGTCTTTCCATAAATATTTTTTACTACTCAACAGACAATTAAGTTTATCTTTTGCAAACAAAACCAAGAATGGAAAAGAGTCAGTTGTTTGACGGTGTTCATTGGCTCTCTGTTTTACAAAGTTTTTAAAAAGTTTATTCAAGAAAATTAACTTTTGAGAGATAGAAAAGTGAAAAATGATTTCAGGTGTATGGAAGGCATTTTTAAATAAGTTTTTCCACTCATCATGGCCAGGAGACGTAGATAATTTTGCCTCTTATTCCTTTTTTTTCCTGCTCTTGGCAAAAAATGAAATGGCAGCTTGTTTGCTGAGTTTGAGCTCCGTCTTTTCTCTCTCTGATAACTTGTGCGAAATATTAAATGTCAAATTGTTGTCATGTATTTAGTCCATGTCCAACTGGCAGTTTTTCAAATCTCACTTATCATTTACTTCTTCTTTTTTTTGTGCCGATAAATGTGAGTCATTATTTTTAATCACTTTTATCAATTGAGCATCAGAGATACGTGGTTGTGACTGTCAATTGGCCGTGCTGCACTGGGGCGCTTTCACACACAACTCCTCTGCCTCCACTTTTAAAGTGGTCATACGGCCATGTTTTTTTAATTTGTTACTTTGCTGTTGTAATTTTCCACCCAGGCTTCTTTATTAATAACCAGGGGCAGGAACTCAAGTATTGTATTTCTTACTAGCACAGTCACAGTGGTCCGCCAGATGGGATTGTGGGCACCTTTGCTCTGCCTTAGTGGCCCTGTCTGTTTTTGAGAGGCAGTGATGGCTCAGGTCGCTGTGCTTATAGCTTTAGCTTTAGAACAAGTGTGTGTGGCTGCCCAGGGATGGAAAGAAGCTGTTGTCATAGTGACAAAGAAAAAACTGATTCCACTGGACTGTTTACTGTTGATATTCCCATGAGCTCAACTGAAGTCAAGGTGTTGTCCAGGGCTAACTGTAGGGACCTGCACACAGCTCATCTATAAAGGAGATTAAAGAAATAACCGCTGTATGAATATACTTATACTCACTTTAATTTTCTGCCTGCTAATTAGAGCTGCAACTAATGCTTATTTTAATTATTTACTCATTGTATCATATGTTGTTTATTTGTTTGACCTATCAATTGACTTAAATTATAAAATTCCATAAAATGCCACAGAATAGTAAATGCCATTAGTTTCCCAAAGCCCAACTTGACATATTCGCTTAACTTAATCAAAAACCAAAGATATTCAGTTTAGTATAATAGAGGGCAAAAATATGAAAATGTACATTTGAGAAGCTAGAACCAGATAGTTTGGGGCTTTTTTTAACTTAAAAATGTGAAAATAGTTTCCATGTTGTTAATTTTCTGTCAATCATCTAATCATTTCATCTCTAATAGTCTCTGTATGGCTCTTCACCATGTTCTCACATGTCAGGCTGTAGAAGCAATTCCAACAAAAAGCTGCATAAAGTGTATATCAGAGTTTGTGTGACAGTGGTGTAGCGGTATTTGTCCACTTTGAAAAAAATCTCTATCTTGTGTTATCCCTCTATCTCACAGGAAGTTTAACTGTGTAACTACATCTGTAGAATATTTTTCCAAATGAAATTTATTTTAGTATGTACATTAGACGCACGGTTCAGTCTAAATACAGACTATTCTGTATTAGTTTGGTTTATTAATTGTATTCATATTGATAACAATGATTTATCTTTACAGTAAAATGTACACATGATTGTCATGTGTGTCTAAATGAGTTCATTCCTAGGGTACATTAAGATAACGGTGTTTGTTTTTTTGTGTTTCAGGGACAGCCTGTTGGCCAGTGTGACTTCAATATCCGGCTGTTATGCATAGAAAAGGAGATCATCTCTCCCCGGATGGAAAAGATGAAGACCGGACAGATTGACAAAACCAAGGAGCCCTTCAGTGTCCGAAATAAGCCCTTCTTTGACATTCACGCAGCACGCAAGGTAAAGTCAACAAAGGCATCCTTTTTACTTTCCAGCCTATTTTTTTTCCCATTTCTTTCACAGATGGAGCCCAGCCAAAACCCATTCCTACTTTCACACAAAGATATACAATTTGAGATGACTCAACATTCTCGCATTTTGTATCTACAAATAACAATTTGTGACTGTCTGTCCCGGTTACCTCCCTCAAAGTTGTACTTTCCAGAGCAACGGTTCTTTGTAGCGTCTTTTAAAGGCACATTGGCTCTGGGTCGGGAGCCAAAGCAATAGCAATTGAAAGACATCTATGTACCACTGTCTCATGTAAGGCACAATTTCGCACCCACTGGGACCGATTATGCTCCGCCTCAGCACATTGTGCGTCTCTTTTTAGGTGGCAGGAAGAAGCGGGGTTGTTGACATTCTGACCCCTGCCTCTGAAAACTGGGTCTCGAAACTTCTGGGTATTAACTTCTGCCACGGTCCTGGAAGCTGGCTTCTGCCATTGGCTAAACCTCAGATTCAGTAGAGGGAATGGGGAGCCCATCTTATTGTAGTAGACCAGTTCTCTGCTCTTGCAAAGATATACTGGATGTGCTATTGCCGTTGGTCCATACATTCTCTATGTATTAGCTATTGTGGTGGGACTTAAGGTCACATCCTTCCAGATGCCTTCTGGGGATGTAAAAATGAATAAATGTCACTGCTATGTGGGTAATTGGTGCCGTTTGCATTGATTGATTGATTCAAGTCGTGCCTTAGCTTTGTCCATGGATCTCATCTCATGCTACTAGCACCTCCATTTGTATTAAGCTTATGATTCCCTCTTCCTACGTATTTGTCTCTATCTTTGTGAATACACCATGAGTAGAAATAAATCATTACATTAGTGATGTATGTCATTATTGTATGAACGGATAAGTATGGGAAAGGACATGCTTTAATGGATGTTGTTGGATGTTTCCTAGGACCTGGCATTACCTGTAACCTTTGCTCAATAATACAGACAATAACTGTTAAATGCATGATGTTAGTTCAGTCTCTTTTTCTTTGCTGTTTTGGTTCAGATGATCATATTTTTTTTGCACTGTCCTTGTCATGTAATAAATAAATGATCACCCTTCAGGTTAAAGTACTGTGCTGTTCACAGGCTGAGGACAACAGGGCTTTTATCCTTTGAATAGCTGTTAAGCTCTCCTCAAAGGCCTGCACTTGTGCCCTAATAGCAGGTCTGTAGGAGGTCAGAGCACGATTAATTTGATGTTTCACTCGGGCCAAGATCAGTGGGAAATCTTGGCACTGCACATTCACAGATGATCAAAGTACACGGAGGGGGTAAAGTTTTAGACATCTCTTGTGTTGTGGTCCCATGTCTTTCTCTGCCAACGTTGATATCTTGGTGTTTTTGTCTTATTATGAATAGTTGGCTTACCTCTCGTCTAACCCGGTGCTATCTACTCCTCTAAGAACCTTTTTGAAGGACTGCCCCTCACCCTTGGTGGGGGCATGTTGCTGAAGATACTCTAGAAATGAAGTCACTATAACTATGTCTGGTTTCTGACTGCTCTATTGTGCTGTGCAATGGCCATCTGCTCCTCATACAGTCATATCACTGTTGAATGGGACATTAAAAGAGGGAAACTGGAATCTGGCTCATTAATTCATAGCTGCACAACCCTGCACTTCATGGCATATCAACCAGAAATTCCTTTTAGGGATATTTCAGTCACGGGCTGGAGTTGTATGATGGCTTTTGTCTGTTGCTAGGCTGCTGTTTTTCATCTCAGACACTTAAACATTCATGCTGCCATTTCCCACCGATTGGGACCATTTATTCTCCATGCTTCCTCCACTTGTCCAATTATCTTACAAAGGCCCCTTTTTGTATTACAGAAATTATACATTGGGACAACCAGATAATACATTTTGGGAATTTCCCTCTTGTGTAGGTTGAATAGACTTGGCTGACAAAATATATTTTGAGTAGAAAATAATTCTGGATTTTATGGCTTCATAACTCAGTTGATGGTGTCTGTTCTGCAGAGAATTGCATGTTTAGTTTTGTGCCTAGGTTGCAATAATACATGCTTTATCTTTGTAGTATTCTTCTTTACTTGGTTGGATTTGTTAGGCCCTTTACTTACTTACATACTTTTGCTACTTACAGTACCTGCAGAAAATTCCTAAATAAAAACACATCAAAGAAATACAATGCACATTGTTTTTATCTATGCATTTACTGTCATAATTCAATGAAAAATGTACGGTGAATACGCTACGGTTGTCTTTAAGAAATGAAATGTTTTCCTGCCTACAGTAAATGAATACCTAAAAGGGAAATGTGTATATCAATGTGTATTGTATTTCACTTATAGTTGCAGTGTCTGTACCAACTATTCAACCTTTTTACCGCTGTCTTTATGTGTCTTTGTCCACCGTGTATTCAAAATCAATCAATTTTCAGTTTAGACTTTAACCTATAAAATGTTGAAGGATTTATACTGATATACTGACTGGCAAATAAGCTCCTGTATCAATTTACTAATGTGTGCCAACAAGGAAATTGTTTGTTTTCTCAGTGTAGTGCACTTGTAGAGTACTTCCGAACAGTGCACTTGGCAGCGATCTATATATTTCTTTCAAGGAATTAGAACTTAAGTCAAGACTGGGATTTCTGGTCATTTTCTTGCTCGCTGAAGGCAGCGAAATTTCCATAGAGAATCCGTTTATGAGGTACAAATTCATATTCCTCCTGGGATTATAGAAATGAATGTTACAGTTTGGGGGCTACCGCAAACTCGTGATGATTTCTGCAATTTCCATAGGGATTGGGCTTAACAAGTCAAAAAACTCATCCAACTCAAACTTATTGTTAAGGTTTCTTTTTTTTCTTTTCAGTCCAGGATATGCAAAGCTCAACTCTTTGTAACATAGGCTCTTCTTTTGGCCATGAAGATAAATCCTTAGTGTTGAAACTCATTGAAAATGTTTTGAGTTTTATTTAAGGTCCAGTGTGTAGGATTTAGTAGCAGCTAGCGGTGTAGTTGCAGAGCTCATGAAAGAGAAACTGTGGTGGCCAGAAAACACACAAAAAACATGAATCCCCCTATTTATAGCCAGTGTTTGTCCATTCTGGGCTACTGTAGAAACATGGCAGTTGAACACGGCAGACTCCATGTAAGGCGACCCGCGGCGTCTGTAGATATAAATAGCTCATTCTAGGGTAACAAAAAACAAACTTTTCAGTTTTTTTATTCCTAATTCAGTTGATTATACACAATTGAAAACATACCTATGAATATTATATTCAATTTCTGCCAATAAAGCCTCCTTACTCTTACGCACTGGACCTTTAAATCAGGTTTGTTCATCTGCCATCACAATACAATTACATCTAGAGTTGCAATGATTAGTCTATTAATTTATTAACTAAACGGCAGAGCATTTATCAGAAACAGTTTACACAGTCTTAATTGTGAGTCATTGTTTACGGAAATGTGCCAAAGTATCTAAATTCTTGAAAATGAAACATTCACTGAGGTATACCTTGTTTGATTTGCAGAGCATTCAGTAATAAAATGTGACTCGTGCTCTATCCAGATTTAATAAAGTCACAATTTGGGAATGGAAAACTTACAAAGGGAGATTAGATTGTGTTAATTTGTCTTTGCCCTTCGCAGAATATCTAATATCCCTTCCTCATTTATCATACCTATCAAGAAATTAGGCCTATGCTGAATAAAGTTTCCCATAATGAGACTTGTATCTCCAGTTCACCCCGGGCCATCGCACATCTCTTCCCAGGAGTCCAAGCAGTGGTGAACTGACAAGAGAAAGATTCAGGTGAAAGAATGAGTTTCTGACCTGAGAGTAGATCTCATCTTACCTTTTTTTGAACAGAGATTGAATTTGGATAGAGACTTGAAAAGCAGTTATCTAGATTCTTTTTTGGAAGATTGTAGTCTTTTCATGGAGCTCGAGCCTAATCACAGCGGGTGAAGGTTTAGCGTATGTACTGAATATAAAATAGCCAAAAGAACTGACTTCTTTAAGAAGGTAAATAGTGGAGTTGAAGAGATTTTCTATAGAGATTGCTGATATACATTGAAGTGCCTGTTTTGTTTGATTGGCTGTTGTTAAAGTTGCGCTGAGAGCAGCTGCCGTTTTCTCTCAAGATTATAACAACAGTACAAAATTTGGCCTTTGCGTCCTGTGACCTTGTTACAACAAAATTATAAAAACTAATTTATGGTTTCAGTCAGAGCTTCTTATCCAGTTCCTTGTTTTATTTTTTTATATCTTGCGGTAACAGCATTACTGCCAGCAATGGGAGCAGGATTAACACATTTATTAAAAATGCTGCTTCTGTAATTGGTTTGACTCCTGATTGATTTGGAGGGAATAAAACTGAAGGAGAGTTTTAGATTATACTAAAGTTTGAAGGTTCATCCCCCGTTTGGTATTTTTTTCTTAGCAGTCTAAAAAGTGTTTGGTTAAGCACTTTAAGGTTTTGTTTTGCCCCTGATCTGATCCGAATATTGAGTATCTGCCAATACCAAGTCCCAATCCGATACTTGTATTTTCCTAGATCATGTAGTTATGCAGTGCACACTTCAGGTACATTAAAGTTATTAAAATCAATCCAGTTTATATTTTTGACAATTGGATGGCTCTGCAATGCATAAAAAAACATGCCTGCATTAAAGCTTTCTTCATTTAAAAAATAAATAAATAAATAACAGCCCTCTCTGCACCCCCTCGATGCAGCGGAGTTGCCTGAATGAACTGTATTCTGTTAAGGTTTTTTTTTCTTGTCTGTACAGCTTTTGCATGGATTACATGAATAAATTACTCTCATTGGCTTTTTGTCCGTGGGGCTTTTGCTGCACTTGCATCAGTGTGGTGAGTGTGGTTGTGTCCGCTTTCCACCGCTGTCTGTCTCTTTTCCGAGCTGTAGCTGAGCCCCGCCCGTGGTGAAACTCGTTTTCCGGCCTGCACATGATAAGCAGTCCAGTGATTGC